CTTCAGTCAGGGTCCCCAAGGAAACGGGTGAGTGTAGAGGATAGTGGAGGGCTGGGGCTGGATCCCACAGGGCCCTCCTTGGGACATGGCATTCAAGGCTTATAGCCTATGTGCAATGGGAAACAATTCACTGGTTTTACACAGGAGGGATTTGATCTATTATTATTTTATTTTATTTCGCTTTATTGAGGTATAATTGACAAATAATGATTTATTTGTTTATACCCATTTATATTTCTTTACCAGGAATGAAATTTATATTTCGTTACCAGGCATGAAAGTTTTAAAAACATGAATTAAAAAAAATCCTCCAAACAGCTCCCAGTGTCTGCAGCTGCATAGAAGCAGACTAGGTGCAACACTGACTGACCAGCAGAAGGAAGCTAAGCTAGATTTTTCTCATTGTGGTGATAGATTTATGCTGCTGAACTATTTCTAACTTCGTGCCTTGCTCACGAGAGTCAGGAATACGCTCCGTAGCCAGGAACAAAGCCAAGCACAGAGAGCAAACCTGTGACTTTGACCACAAAGGGCATCATGTTATTACCTAACTGGGTTTACACGTGGTGGAGCCATGTGACTGTGCAGTTTTCTCACTGAACCACATAAATTGCCCAACAAATGAGGATTCAAGTGTAAAGGTTTCCAAGGTGGATACCATGACTTCCACAGTACTTAAGACTCGAGAGAGAATGGTTTCTCATCACTTCTCGGGTCAAATCCACACTGCTCAGCTCAGGGCTGGGCCTCACCGACTGCCAGCAGCTTGGCACGCTCATGACCAAGGTGTGTCACCCAAGCCAGCTGCCACTCACCACGGACACTGCCACTGAAGGCTCACTACCGCTTGGGGCTTTTCTTCTACTGTTTGACACCCACATCATTTTTGCCAGTCTACTTCTATCATGCCCTTCTAACCTCAGCTCAGAAAATAAAGAGGAAAAGTTTATTTTTTTTTGAAAAAGGTAACAGTCTTTGAAAAAGGGTAGAAAGAGTCAAAAGACAAATGCCAACGTTTAACAATATTTCTAGTCCTGAGAGAGTTTAAATACCTCATAGTATAATTGTAGGTGGGTTATTTTTGGTTACCAGTTCTGAACATACTTATTGAGCATCAGTTATGTGTGAAACACTGTCTCAGGGGGAGATGAGTATGATCTAATCCTTGGCCGAGAGTAAATTCCAGTCCAAGGAGGAGACAGGAGACACCCAGGAAGCAAGCAGTTAGAACACGGTGTGAGGAAGTTTCCAGTGAAGGCTCGTCGAGGGAGGGATCCCAGGTACTGAGTCCTGAAGAATGGCAGGGAGCAGATAGGGTGGCGGGGGCTCAGTAGGCAGAGAGAGCAGCTTGTACAGGCTTGGAGGCAATTCAGAAGTCCTTAGGTCTTTATAAGAGAGGTGTACTTCCAGGACAGCAGGGATAAATCAAGTCTTGACTTTCTCTGCTCCAGGCTGACCAGTTCTTACTCCTCTCCTCAAGACAGTCTGTCCCAGTGTAGGTCTTGGTGTCCAGAAGAGGCACAGGCAGGAGACCTGTGTTTTGTGTCCAGGTTGGAAGAAAAAGGTTCAGGTTTTCAAACTGAGATATCTATCCAAATGACAGGACATAATATTTACCACCTAGGACAGATGGTGACCGTAGTTTTAATAGCACTTTAAAGGCCCAGTGTGCTTCAGGAAGAAAGTCCTTCACACCCTCTGAAAAAGTAATGGATGTGGAAACTTACATGACTCCTAATAAAACTTTAGAAGTAGGCAATAGAAGGGATATTGGCATGTTGAGTCCCTTCCAAATCCTCCAAATTTGTGACTCCCAAGCATTGTGATGAAACTAGTGATGGGCTTACAATTCCATTTATGGATTTTGTAATGCATTTTGTTTTGACTCTTACTATGTGTCAGATGGACTTCTTTTTCCCCCCAGATGGGACTTCTGTGACTAGTCACTCTAATTCTGCATCAGTGCCAGTTGTTTTTCCATCACTCTAGAATATCAGTAACACTAGCGAATCTCCAAGCAGGTGATGTTGTATCACACCTAACACTTAGACTTGGCCAAAATCAAGTCCAAGAGATGAACTGCAGACAAGTAAAAGCCGTTATGTACTTAACAGCACCAAAATTTTCCATTACAAATACTGTTTTTACTTTTTCTTAAAAAAAAAAAAAAGTGCTTTGAGGGGCTTTGAATTTCTAAGCCTTCGAGATCAAAGATTTCTTCAGCTGCCTGAATTATAGGAATTTTGAAAAACAAAAACAAATCCTTTTCCTGCTATAAAATCCTTGCCATATTTTCGTTTTATGTAATTCAAAACAGCTGAACTAAAAAATGAGGTTGATGAGTTCTAAAAACTCATCAGAAATGGAGCAGTCAATCATTTTGCAAGTGTCATTCTAATTAATCTGACCCAAGAATAAATTTTACTAAATTCTTATCTGATATTCCAGAAAATTGCTAAATAGCACTTGGAATTAAACAACTTGTGGCTAAGGATACCAAAATGTTTAAATTGTTTATTAAAGTGATTCAAGACTGAATTATAATAATGTGGGCATGGCGGTGGTAGCAGCCAGTGTAATTTTCCTGTGATTCCACACACACCCTTGGCTACGTTTGTGTCCTTTTAGCAGCATGATTGGCTAAATAGCGAGCTGTTTATTTCAAAAGCCTTTGCAGAAAACATAGACCTTGTTATGAAGCAGTAGTTTATATGTAGTTATCAGTTTGCTGATGTTTTTAGTATACAGCCTGACCCTCAGGATAAACTGCTTTTAGCAGGGGGGGTGACGTTAGCTCATAGATCATCTGGGATAACAGACACCCTGACAGTTTGCTACCTGTGCACTAGTGGTCTCAGAATTTCAGCACTTCCAAAATGAACCAATTTTTGCTTTATCACAAGAGAGATCTCATTATGTTCATACTCATGAAAAAGCTAGATGGCAAATATGGTAGAAAGTACATATCCTTATTCATGGGGGCGTAGCAGTATGTGCTTTCTGACATTTGAGACTTAAGGCACTTTATATATATGAGGACATTTGTTTCCAATTTCCTCCTGTGTTACCTTTAAAAAAAATTTTAATAAGTTTTTTCCCAAGTATTGTATTATAAAGAAATACACTCTAGAGAAAAATTCGAAGACAAAAAGTAAAGAAAATATAAACATGAGTTTTAAAAATCCCACCATTTGCATTTGTTTTTATGTCAATCTACATTTTGTTGATTTTGCTTTATGAGAATGTATTTACATAATTGAGATCGTGCTGCATACAGAATTTCTACTTTTTTCTTTATAACACGGTACTCTAACTTTTGTAGCATCAGTCTTAATGAATGCATACTACTCCTTTATAACCATTTTGGGACATTCAAGTTCCTTCCAGTATTTTGCAATCATAAACAATTCTGCAGTTCACATCTTTATACGTAAAACTTTTCCAATATTGCTGTATTAGACAAAGACTTTAGGCTGTAAGTCACAAGAAATCAATTCACCCTGGCTTAAGCAAAAGAGGAACTGTATTAGCTTGGGTAATTAAAAAGCTAGGGGTAGAGATTGGCTTCAGGCATGGCTAGACTTAGGGGCTCAGCAGTGTCTTCAGGAATCCATCTTCCATCTCCTGGACCAGCTTCCCTTTGTGCTGATTTCATTCTCACGCCTGCTCCTTTACCTCTTCCCATAAGAAACAGCAGCTCTGTCCTAGCATTTCTCCCAGCAGAACTCCCACAGTTGAAGCTCACTAATATGACTGGGGTCAAACATGTAACTCTGAGCCTGTCACTGGGGCCAGGACAAGGGAATGTTCCGACTGGCCTATAGGACCCCCTGCTCCCTTTCCCACCTCTCCCATCTGACTCCTCCACTGCCCTCACTCTGCACACCTGGACCCTTTGCTGTTTCTTGAGCCCACCAGTCTGCCCTTCATCCGGGGCCACTACTCTTGTCCCCTCTGCCTTGCTCACTCTTCCCCCAATGTCCCCATGGTTTGCTGCCCTCTCACTTCCTTCAGGCCCTACTCAGGGACTGCCCTGATCCCCTCTTCACTCTCTAGTCTCTCTCCCTGTTTCTCTTTGTGGACTTATGACTACCTGATGTTCTGTTATATATTCACATGGTATATGTGCGAATTATTTGTCTCCTTCCATGGGAACCACGAGGGCTGGCAGTTTCGTTTGCAGCTCTCTCCAGCATCTAGTATTTATCAAGTGAGTTAATGAATGAGTTTGCCAGGCCAGGCATGTACCCATCTGTAGGGTCAGCCCACCCTAAGGATAAGAGGTGTCTGAAAGGATGGTGTGATTCCTCAAAGAAAACAGGTGGCCATCTCCGGACCAAGGGGGACTGGTTGTCAGACCGTCCACAGCATTGTCACACTTTCAAGTTCAGATCACCGTCTACAGCAAAGTCCCAGGAGTGGGATTCCAAAGGATACGAATGTTTTGAGTTTCCTGGTATGTACTTCAACCCCCTATAAAACTCCTCCTCGTAGTAGACAAAATAGTCTCACATGCAGATCATATCATGCCCCCCCACAACTTAAACCCGATAGCTCCCCACTGTACTGGGAATAAAAGAAGAGCTCTGCCCTGGCACCCCAGGCCCCAAATGCTCCATTATCAGCCTTACTCTCTGACCTCTCAGGCTGCAGCACACTGGCTTTCTCTTCTGCCCTGGAATCCACACATTCCACCTCAGGACCCTCGTGTTATCTCTCCCCTCTCTGCCTGGAAGGCCTGGATCACAGGTCTGGCCTGACAGCCGCCTCTTCTCTCTCCTCAGAGCTCAGCTCAAATGTCCCCCCATGAGACCACCCAAACAGCGCCCCTCTCCCTCACCCGCACCTGGGCCTTTCCAGCAAACCTGGTGTTTTCTTTATAGTGTCAACACCCTTTTATTTGTTACCTCATTTATTCTGTCTTCATCACTAGAATGTAAGTTCCATGATGCCTTTTTCTCGCTGTCCACTGCTGTATTCCCCAAACTCAAAAACTGGTACCTGGCATATCAAAGGCCTTTAATGAAGTTTTTTGGAAAAAAATAACAAAATGCTCTTCAGGAGGACTGTAGCAATTAACACCCCTATCAGCAGTAAGAATGCTCATTTCACCTCATCTCTCATTGAAGCGGTTTTCTTAGACTACAGCTCAAGAGATGTAATTTTGGGGAGAAGCAATGGGGCCATTTAACAACTACCACTCCCATTTGAACAGAGATCAGGCACATTCTGGTACAGCCAGGTATGTTACAACAAGGCCCCACCAATAAGATTTTACTTTCCCATCTAGTTTAAGTACAGCCCGAATCTTCATCCCCACTATGTAAGTGAAGAAAGACTCCTTTTTGTTGCAACTGGACTCAAGGGAAATTTCTAAACATGTTACACAGAGTAAAAATTAGTGAATAATCAGCTCAAGTATTTGGGATATGGACAGGCATCCTTTCTGTGCATTCCCATCCCAAATGATCCAGCTGTGCTAATATTTTGACTTATAGAACCTTTGCTAATCTTTCATTATTAACATTAAAATGCATATATTTTGTATATTTTGTTTTAAAGCACTTCAGGTTAAAAGAAAGTCTTGCAAAAATAATTGATCTACATAAAAAGTATTTAATATAGAGAATACCAAAGCACCTTTCATTAGGTAGAAGTCCCTGTGACATATATCAGATAATACTAATCAAATCTCCCTTTACCTGAAAAGAATTTCTGTTTGAATACAAAGTAATAAACTTCTTGTTCCCATCTTTTTTCAGACAAATCTTCAGCATCACTGAATCTGGGGGTCACAATGAATCCAGCAAAGAAATGACTGTGTTCTTCAAAAGAAAATAGCCAATACAAAGTTTTCTAATTTAAAAACAGCACCATTGGAGGAAAGGGATATGTCTTTTAAGTGCAAAGTCCCTCAACAAGTGATTTACCAAAATTCATGCTAACTAAACTTTGAGTGGTTGCTTTCTATAACCTTCCTGTGATCTGGGGTAGAAAACAGAATAAAGTTAAAAAACAAAGCAAAACAGTAACTTTTAAGAATCAACACACAGACACACACACACACACACACACACCCCTGGCAGAGTGTGTTCTTCTTTGTTTTCTGCCCATTGTATCACCAGTCAGCGACCTCTACCACAAAGGGCGTTTTCACATCTATCTTGCCACTGTTGATGATGGAGCAGTTGGTGAGTGGACGGTCATGCCCATCAGTTGCCTGCAGTTCTATGGAGTGGACCACTGTCTGGTGAGAGAAAAGTAGACCCATGGATCACTTCTGACCAGCAACTGTGGTGATCAAGAGGTAAAATCAATGTGAAGTCTGAAAGCCCTAGTGGGAAATAAGTTGTTTTTGCTTTTTCTATAATTACAAAAACCATGCAAGATAACTATGGAAAATTTAGTCAGGAAATTTATATATAACAGAATAAAATTTACCCACTAGCTTGCTAATCAGAGAGCATATTTGTGAATTTCCTCTCTTCTTTTTATTAGCATTTTATATTCTAAAAAAATTAGATATTTTTGCAAACATCTAGTGCTAATAAAAAGTATTTCTATTCACTTGTTACAACCCAACTTAAGAGTTAACGTGGAATTTGAGACAGTTTCAGCTCCACTCTATAAGAGGTCTAGGCATAAGAAAATGAGCCAGAAAGCAGTTTAGTAGTGGAGTTAGTTTTGGGTTTGTCCATTTTAAAGCCGACCCCAGCCAGTAATCTACAGGTTGAGTCTGATACTAATGTAACCCCAACCCCACAGTCGTGTAAAAGGCCCCTTTCTCTACTCCGGAAGGCTTCACAAGCTCATGGACTAATTTATGTCACATACTGGGCCAGGACTAGGCAAGTGGACTTCTGATGAGTTTCCCAAACAGCGTTGAGACAAAAATAGCAACAAAGTCTCTGAGCGCTTTGGACATGGTGTCAGCTAATCCAGTCTCTGGCTGACTTAGGTTAATTTAAGATAAATGACCAGCATTCTTCTAATAATATCAATAATATATATTTCTAAATAGATTGTGTGTGTGGGTTCATATGTGCACACGTGTACCTAAAGCAGCAGCTACACATCCGAACTACCTGTGGCACTTTAAAAACTGCTTATTTCATGGTTAAAATGGAAATTTCTATGTTGTGTACATGTTACCACAATTTTTTAACACGCTTATTCGCGGGCCCACCTCTGGAGGCTCAGGAGTTTTAAAAATAAACCACATGGGGCTCAGGGCTTTTAAAAATATTTTATTTTGAATTGTGGTAAGAAACACATAACATAAAATTTGCCGTCTTATCCATTTCTAAGTGTACAGTTCATTAGTTTAAGCATATTCATACTATTGTGCAACTAAACTTCAGAACTTTTTCATCTTATAAAACTGAAGATCTATAGAGATACCCACTGAAACGAGCTCCCGATTTCCTCATCCCCCCAGCCCCTGGCAACCACCATCCTGCTTTATGTTCCCATGTATTTGACTACATTAGATACCTCATTTGAATGGACTCATACAGCCTTTTTGTGACTGGCTTGTTTTCTTTAACATTCCAAAGGTTTATTCATGTTGTAGCATGTGACAGGATCTCCTTCCTTTTTAAGGCTGAATAATATTTCATTGTATGTACATGTGGGATTTTATCTGGTTACTTTAAAAAGAGTTTCCACTTATTTCAAGTGTGAGATGAATTAAGTACTCAACTTCTCCCTGTCAAGTCCCCAGCTTCTGCCCCAATGCTCCTAACAATTAAAAATACCACACCATATATAATTTATTCACCTTTGAAAAGGCCAGTCAGCATATAATTATGGCTCTCTAACAAGCACGTTTGGAGATTAAATCACTAAGAGTACTCTCATTATAAATCTTTGAATGAGAAAAAATAATACATCAAGTTACCATTCCATCAATGACTTTTCCAAATACCACATGTTTGCCATCCAACCAGGTGGGCTTGGTCAAGGTGATAAAGAACTGAGAGCCATTGGTGTCAGGCCCAGCATTGGCCATGCTGACCCACCCAATGCCATAATGCTTCAGTTTGAAGTTCTCATCTGGAAATGTCTCACCATAAATGCTTATACCTGAGTGAGACAAAACAAAAAGGGGAGAGACAACAGATGTTCTATGAAAGTAAATTCTTCAAAGGGGAATATAAGGTTTGAGTAGATTGGTTAATAGAACCCTGTAGGAGGTGGGGATGGGGAAAAGATGGTCAAATATAAGGAGAAATAAAGCAGAGGATAAAATTAACGGGGACTTCCCTGGAGGTCCAGTAGTTAAGATCCCATGCTTCCACTGCAGGGGGCATGGGTTAGATCCCTGGCTGGGGAACTAGGATCCTGCATGCCACGCAGCACAGCCAAAAAAATTTAAAAAAAAAAAATTAGCTCCTTAAGGAAACAGGGCATCAGGGACCAAAACAAATAAACAAAAGCCTTAAGTATGACACAAGATGGAAGGATGCCCTCTGGCCTCAAACCAAGACCCAAACCCTGAACAAGCAAGTCAGTGATTTCACTCTGAAACGAGAAGGAACTGAAGGGCAGGATGACATTGTGAAGCCCAATGGAAAGGTGGATAAGCGAATCTAGTGGCTCCACCTCTGTCCTGAGGTTCAGGTCACTTGCCCTGGATCACTCCTACCTCTGCAGCCAACCAGAGTACAATACGCACTTAATATACACCCTTAGTAAATTCTCACAACAATCCTGTAGAATAGGTTTTCTCATTCCCATTTTGAATGGGAAACAGAGGTTATCAAACTTGAAAACAGCAGAGTAGAACTTGACCTTCTGGCTCTAACTCTGGTTCCCTAAGCATGAAGAACCTCAGCACTGAGAACAGCGCAAGCCTGGAAGTCATTAGGCTTGATGACTTCAGGGCTCATCAGGATACAGAGGATCACAGCAACTGAGAGCACCCAGGGAGCCAACCTTGGACGGAAGAACCAAAGGCAGGCATGGGGGCTGGAGATCAAGCACAGCAGCAGGGAGAGCAGAACACATTTTTCCTATAAAACAACAGTACAGACCATGAAAAGTATCTGCTCCATCCCCTAACACCCTGAGTGACTGTCACACCCACCTCCTCCGCTGCAGGGCTCCTTATCCATTGGTGGCCAGCCTTAAAGTCCTGGCTCAGTTAGCTCTTGTGTCATCTCCTTTCTTACTATGCAGTACTTGTGAAGGACCAGGCAAAAATTCTACTTCCTTAAGACTTGGGTCTCACATAAGGCGTTTTTCTTCATTTATATACAACCAAAACTTCTTCACAGCTAATGTAGTTAACTTTTAAAACACAATATCTACAAAGTGTTGCAGTAGAGGAATTATTAAGGACATTCTGTGAATCCTAATTATTTTCCTTCTTAAGGTTTACATCTTGCAATATATGGCTTTTGAATGAATAACTAGATATTTTAACAACTTCACTCCTTTGTAATTGTCTTATTTTATACTTATCTGAGTAATTAATACAATATTTAATAATTTAAGGAAACCTGACTTTTTTTTTTTTTTTTTTGTAGACTAGATCAAATATAATTCATCTTACCCAGAAAAAAAAAATCCTGGCTCAGTTAGAAGGACCAGAAGTGGATACCAAAGGCAAGCCATTTATAGCTGGTTGGTAAGTGACATATGAGGTGGGCTGGTAGCAAAGTTTAAATGATCCAAAAGGTCCTATCTACAAATCTCATGTGAACCCATACACACACACAGAGCAGGGAAAGCAGAGAGAGAGAGGGACACAGAAAAGAGGACACAGTAGAACTCCATCACCATTCTTGCTGGGCCCCAGGCAGGGCGGTGGGGTGCCAGTCCTGAGGGGACCCGTACTGGAGCTGCAGGCTTTTCCACTGAGACCCAGCTCTGCAGCAGCTGGGGTTGCTACCCTGAGCATCCTCACCAACCCCATGAAACCAAGTAACCTGAACATGTTCCTGTGCTCCATTCTACATTCCCATACCTGGCAGCATTTCTGCAGGGACTAAAAGTAATCCTCCTGAAGTGTCTGGCAAATCCAAACATTTAATGGCAGCCATTTTGTTATTTAAAAAATTGCAATAAACATAAAATGAACAATAGTGCTTGAAAATGGCTTGTTTCTTGAAAAAGTTAGCAATTTAGTATCCACCAAAACCAGTATTTGCTGAATTAAAAATCTTAAACCTGAAGTAAATTTAAATTCTGTGTGGTTATATACTGTGTGTGTGTTCAGGAATTCACTACATTTCTGGGGAAAAATAGTCCAGGGAGCTGGGTAGCTGGAATCCTCAATGAGAAACAATAAGCTCAGAGATACTTAAACTCTATAAATTGAATTATTTGTACTTTATAGAATTCTAACTTTGTTGATAAAAATTAATGTATACTGTAATTTTGACAAGTTGTCTATTACTTAATTTTTTTATTGTTGAAAAAGCTGACAATTAAAATGAAAGAATTTTGAAAGAAGGAGGTACATTCACCTATAATCCTGCCACCTAAATACCAGCCTCGTCATTCTGGCGTGATGTCCCCAGACCCCCTCCACCAACGTGCACATCTGCAGCTGGCTGCCACCCCAGGGTACAGTTTTTCAGTCTACGTTTCCTTGCTATGACAGACATCTTTCTGTATTGCTACATACCAGAAGTCTAGGATTTTAAGCACTGCAAAACAGCCTACTAAATGAATATACCTCCACTATGGAAAGATAATGAACACCAAAGCAATACTGTTACAAATTAGGAGGCCTCACTCATTCACACCTACCAAGATTTTGTTAGATACGGCACCCCCACCCCAACTCAATCCTTCTTGAAAAATTAGTCTGGTTGTCTTTATGACTTTGTTCCTTAAATCTGGGAATTCAATATGCTGGGTAAATACATCATCTTAATCTTAGGTTTCACCTGGGTAAGCAGGAAAGGAAAAATGTTAGACAACATTACCGCCAGTGCCATCTCCACTGGTGAAGTCTCCTCCTTGAATCATGAAATCTTTGATGACGCGATGAAATTTGCTTCCTCTATATCCATATCCTTTCTAAAGAGATTATGTCAATTGAATACACAAGTAGATATAACCCATACTGTAAGATAAACCCCAGTGTTTATCTGGAAATGACAAAATGAGAAAATTACACAAAATATCTACAGAACTAGATTAGGTGCCTGCAATAATTTACTGATAGAAATTTATCATTAGCTGACTGAAAAGTAAACACATAAACTATAGAGGTAAAGTATTAACCTGCACAAGTAAAAAGAGAGAAGTCTGCATTTTTGATGACAGTTTCCTGTCAGTTTCTAGAACCCTGAGGAAACTGAAGGCTTGAAGAATAGCGATTTTCTAGGAAAATAAAGTAAAATATTGTTAGATGTCTCAAGTTCATCTCATCTACTAATTTAATACTTATTTTCCCAGAATACATCTTTACGTTTGGCTTAAAAGAAGGAAGATCTACTTCTGCCCAGTTAAAGGGAATAAAACTGAGACATACCTCTCCTGTTGCCAGAGCGATAAAATTTTCCACAGTCTTGGGCACAACTTTTCCAAAGAGGCCAATCACAATTCTGCCAACATCTTTATCTCCAATCCTCACATCAAAGAAGACCTGCATGTGGTTGAAAGGCAGAGCAGAAGGTTATAATGTGAAAAAGCCACAATACAAGGTAAGGGAACATGATAATCTGAGAACTGATCCCCATGCAAGGGCCCTGCCCACCAGTATTTTATAAAGGAGCACGAAGGAGCTATTTTATGAAGGAGCATGATATAAATTAAAGGAGCTCTGAAACCATCTTGTGGGTGCATTTCACTCACAAACATTCATTCACCAAACAGTTACGGAGCACCACCTCTAGGCCAGGCACTGTACTAGAAACTGGGTTTAAAGTTGGACTCAATACTGTCAGAGTCAGCCAGTAATGTCTTCAAGAATTCCTCTCCCCTCCACAACCCAGACCAGCACTGCTCTGGCCTCCCGTTTCCTAGCTCTGCAGACACGGGTTAGAGTGGAGACTGTTGGTCTCCTGAGAGGTAATGCTCTCCAGTCTTGGCAGGAGGAAAAAAAATGGTGAGGAGAAACAGTCTAACCATCCAGATTTATTTTTACATAACTTCGAGCAGTGCTAAATTCCCAGTGAGTTCTCAGTAGACATCTGCTGTCAAGGGGACCGTGAAAGATTATCACAACACACAACACTCCTCCAGAAGGCCTGCCACTCACGTCCAGACACACTAAGGCACCAGGGCCACAGCTGCACCCAAAATACAACAAACATTACACTCAGGTCCTGACAGAACCATTTACCCTGTAAACTCAGACACCAAATTCAGTCATCATGTCCCCAAAGCTGCACATGTACAACGTGTCCTTACTCTGTCACAACAGTTTAGAACAGAAAAGAGCAAGCACACATCCAGAAATGAGTCACTTTTTTTTGCAGATAAACTTTAAATCTCTCTTGGACTTTTTTTTAACTGTTTCATCTGAAATGAAATTACATACATCTTGCTTCACAAATCACTGTGTTGAGATGATTCTGAGATAGAATGCTTGAAAAGGCCATGGAGTCAAAGGGCATTCTATTAGCGAGTTTAGATTATACGAACCAATGTACTGTTTGAATGGGTAAAAAAGACATTCAAGAGATGGCTTTAAAAAATATAAGAAGGGTTGTCAAAGACAAAAGATGTCGTACAGTTTAGAAAAATCACGAAGTAAAGACTGTCAAGCTTTAGTTCAAGACAAGAGCTTCTGTCAATACGTCAGGACGTCTGTCACAGGATGATGTGGTATTTTGCAATTTTACATGGCCAAAGCAGCAAAGACTGTATTATTATTTATATGGTAAAACTTCATAGAATGCACAGAAGACGGTGCTCTTGAGAATGGGCAGTGCAGTGGAGTAGGACAATTCAGGAAGCTGCATTAACACCCACAGGAGCCCAGCATGCAGAGCTGGGATCAAAGAGAAGCAGGTTCTCCAAAGGGATTTCTGAACCAAGGAGTAAATTCAATAACAGGCAATAATGAAGCAGCACTGGGACAAGAATTGGGTATGTAATCGTAAAGAAGCACCCTATAAGACACTAGAAAAGCCTATCAGACTTTTAAAATAAAGAAGAGGAAATAAAGCCTGTGAACACTTCAACAGCAAAGAGAATCAAATATGGGAGGGCAGCATAAGAAGATGAAGCAAAAGTGTCTGTCACCCAGCATAACTTCAGTAAAAATCTTATTTTCTTACACGCAGCCTAGCACACATATTAATATGATTTTTTTCCAAACCACAGCATCCTTCAACTTCATGCGTGATGGCAAGAAAATATAGCAGAGTTTCCCTAACTCTAATGGAAATGATGAAATCAAATCTTATTGTCAACAAGTACTTGTCAAAGATCCATGCAGAAGGCAGCGTGAGGGTACAAGCTACTGGAGGGAGTCCCTGTCCTAAGGGAGCTTATGTAAACAGGCCAAGTAAACGAACAACCATAGCACAAGGCCCCAGGTTACAAATGGCCCATAAGGCTGAAGGAAGGCATCCTGGCAAAGGTGTGATGGGAGGCAGGCCTGGAAGGAGGAGAGCAGCCTCCAGGGACAAGGATGGGCAGTTCTTTCTGGGACCAAAGCACTGAGTCAGGAAAAGTGATCCATGTGCAGAGAAGCAACACAGCCCTTCTGACCGCAACCGGCTGGGAAGGGAGACTCTCACCAGTTCCAGAGGCAAAGGAAGGATGCCAGCTAAGAGATCCAGCTTTTGTTAGGCAACACTAGGAGCATGAAAGACAAAATTTCAATTTGAGGCTGCGTTCACTTGGACTGCGATTTATGATGAATATGGCTCTGTCTAGGCAGGGAACCCTTAAGGGGTAGAAACGGTGTTTTTAGATTCCCAGTGCTCTGCAGTGTCAGCTCACGCAGGTACTCAAAAAATCCTAAATAGTTCAATGCCAGTTGATACTAAATGAGGACCAGGGCGCACACACACCTAGACAGAGGGTGAAGGTGGGCCCAGGGTGGCTGCCAGGCAAACCCTCTCACCCTGATATTGTCTGTGACTTTGCTGCGTGTCCTTGGGAACAGGCCCCGTGCTAGACAAGGGGTGGGGCTGCAAAGTCCCTACCCTCCTGGAGCTTACTGTCCCACAGAAGAGAAAGCATATAGATACTCGCTATAATATAATGGGAAGTCAGGTTTCACGAGAAGATATGTACAGATAAAATGTCACGGTTAGAGTGATGATTATCTGTGGAAATCTGGGCAGGCTTCCTGGAAAAGGTGGCACTTGAATTCCATGTTGCACTTCAGGAGCTGGCCCCTCAGTCACTCCTTTTTTCCCTTGAGGCTGCCCTTGAAAGTCATTTGAAAATTACGGGGGGACTTCCCTGGTGGTGCAGTGGTTAAGAATCCTCCAACACAGGGGACACGGGTTCGAGCCCTGGTCCGGGAAGATCCCACATGCCACAGAGCAACTAAGTCCGTGCGTCACTGAGCCTGTGCTCTAGAGCCCGCAAGCCACGACTACTGAGCCCATGTGCCACAACTATGGAAGCCCACGTGCCCAGAGTCTGTGCTCCACAACAAGAGAAGCCACTGCAATGAGAAGCCCGCACACTGTAATGAAGAGTAGCCCCTGCTCGCTGCAACTAGAGAAAGCCCACGCGCATCGACGAAGACCCAACGCAGCCAAAAATAAATAAGTAAATAAATTTACTTTTTAAAAAAATTACAGGTCACTGGAGGTGGGGAGAGACAGGGGAAGAGGCAAGAGGCACTCACATAGCCTGGCCCAAACCCTGTAGGGTTAATCCTGCTTCCATTTCCAAAGTAACTGGGGAAGACACCAAGGACACGAGCTGTGAGGTCCAGGAAACTGTTCTCAAACCAGCTCCAGCACTAACTGGCCGTGGGACCTTGGGCAGCTCTGAGCTCCTGTTCGTCATCTGTACCCAGATGATGATTCCTCTCAGGGCTGCACTGCCACAGGAGGATTAATAACATAACACAAATAACACTAACAATTGACCTCTTTAATCAGGAACTTCAATCAGGGCTAAGCATTTTACGTGCTTTATCACATCTAATATGCAAAACCCTGCAGGTAGGTATTATTTCTCTTTCCACTTACGGAGGAAATAGAAATGGAACAGAGGAGGAGCCTCAGACATTAGGTAACTTGTTGTTACCCCAGCTGAAGCCTCTTGGCCACTCCAAGAGCTGCGGGAAGTGCCAGCAAAGTGTGACGTGAGTGCAGCTGGAAAGATGGCAGCAGTATTTTCTGCAGTCTCGGTGTCTGACCCTGCACAGAGCCCATGGCATCTGCTGGAAAGTGCAGGGCTGCAAACACTAATTCGGTGGATTTTGAGACCAGCGAGCTGGAGCCCAAACCCGAGGCTCCACGGATGGGCAGGAGGCTGAGGTGTCCAGCTGGCAGCAGGATTCATGGACAAGGTGAGTGCCATTAAAGGGCCCTGGGGGGAATAGCACTTCACACCTCTCATTTACAGATTCCTGTTTTTAAACAAAATCAGAGGAAAAGGTAAAGACTGCTGGGGGAAACAATAAACTAGAGTGATGGCTAATTAATCTACTTTTCCACACTCAGAGAAATCATTTTTTAATGTTTCCACTTTCCAATAGATTAGTTGTTTTAAAATGTCCACTGAAAAAGTAATTCAACAGAGTTGAAACTGTGGAAGGACATGCCTACACAGTTTTTAGAACGTAATGACAAATGGGGTGGGAAAAAAGGAGATAGATTGAGTGACTGTTCCAAAAGTAGAGTCCTGAAAACTCCCTCAGTGACAGCACCCTGGACTTGGGGCTAAGATGCCCCAACTCTTCCCCTCTTGCAGCCACCAGCTTCCTCCCCTCTCCTCGAGGTTCCCAACCGCAGCTCCACACTCCCAGAGACTGTGATTACTGATTACTTGCTCTGGGGTAGTCTCTGCACTGGTAGGTCTAAAAGCTTCCCAGGTAAGCCTGTTCCCAAATACTATAGGTGACGTTCTCACAGTAACAAATTATTCGTTGCATATCTGAAATTCACATCTCACTGGGCATCCTGTATTTCATCTGACAGTCCTACTCCCTTTCTCCCACCCTTATCTAAACAGTCAGCAAGTCCTGTTAGTTACACTTCAAAAGTCGATTTCTAGTCCCTCCCTGGCTCCCCATTTCCACCATTACCCCCCCTAATCCAAGCCACCACCATCCAGATTCTGACCTGGAGCCCTGAAGACCTCCCAGTTCACTCTCCACTGAACAACCACAGTAATTGTTTAAAAGCATATATGAGATCATGTCAATCCCATGCTTAAAACCATTCAGCAGCTATAACTGCACTTAGAATAAGACCTCAAATTATGAGAATAATTGCCTTAAAACCCATACTCCGAACTGTGGCCCGGAAGGCACTACCTGATCTTGCTGCTGCTCACCCAGAACCTCATCTCAAGCCACTCCCCCTCTCATCCCTGGGCTGAAGCCACACCATCCCTTCTCCATCCTCTGAACATACTTTTCTGTCTGGAGGCCTTGCATATGCAGTTCCCTTTGCCTCCTAAGTCTTTGCCAGGCTTTTTTTTTTTTTCTTACCCTTCAGGTATTTTTAAATGTCACCCAATCTATTTCCGGGTTTATTTCCTTCATCATTTCAACTTCATGAATTTTATGTTTAAGTCTTATCCCATGAGACCCAAATAGTATCTGCAGATTGGAAGAACACCCCCCCACTTCCCCCCCTTCAGCTATGTGGCTTTGTATAAGCCGTTTCCCAAAGCTAGATAAGCCCCAAAGATCAAGGGGCTGGGAGGAGAATCAGTGCTCAAAGCCAGCAAGCTCAGTTTATCACCGCACATACTCCGCAGCACGGCCTTTCTGTTCACTCTTAGGCTACGTCAGATGTTGGGCGGAACCTCCCCCGCCCCTTGTCCTCCCCCCTCCTCGGGTGGGGTGTGTGGTAGAGGATTTAAGCATCCAACAGTATCATTTCTACTGGCAGACACCGGACCGATTGTTAAGACCACCTGCAGCTGCCCCTCCTTCCAGATTCCAAGACACCCCTGCCACTGGGTTTTATAGAAGTGGTCATCAAGGGCCCCAAATCATCCCCTCCCTCCCTCCCTCTATCTCTCCCTGCACCCTCCCATTATCCTTTAACCTTGGCTAAATATGGTGGGGAAGGACCTGAAGCTGTAAAGACACAGTCTATGGCAGATGTCCCCCCACCCCACCCCCCAATCGTGATCAAAAGGCTGGCCTCAGTTATACTGGAGCCGCCTGTGCCTTGCTAGCACCGTCCCCAAGCCCTGGGGTCCACCCACCAGCCGCCAGAGTCTGAAAAGCGCACCTCTCCCTCCCCGGGGAGGACGGTCGTTCCTAAATACTGGAAAAGGAGGATAGCCCTTGGTTTCAGCAAGGCCACGTAATGCCTGCCCCGACCCCACCGCGACAGGGGCTGGACCTGGGATCTGCCAGGTCAGGTGACACCCGCGGCGGGCGGCCCAGCTGCAACCCCTCCGCTCGCAACGCGTCTCCTCCGCCAGTCCCCGTCCCTCCCGCATTCTTCCTGCTTCTATTCCCTAGTCCCCGCCAAGGCGAAGGAAGTACTCGGCGGTCTCCTTCCTGAAGAAAGGGCCCGCCGGTTCCGGAAGCTTCTCCCAACTCCCAGGCAAAGTTCAGACAGCCGGCGGCGGGGGCCCAGCGCCCCCACAGTCTCCCGGGAGAGCGCGGGCCCCCGCGCGCGGGCAGCCTCCTGCCACCTAGCCCCCCGGCCGCCTCCCGTCCTCTGCGCCCGGGAAGCCCCCTCCTCGCCGCCCCTGACCCTGAGGTTCCAGTCCCCAAAGCTCTCCCATCCCCTCGGCCAGCACGAGGGGAAACTGCTGCCCGCCGCCCAGTCACCTTGGCCGTCACCGAGGGGCCTCGCTTGCGGACGCCTGACGCTCCCGCAGGAGGTACGAGAGCGCTGAGCCCCACGCAAAGCACCAGAGGTAGCAGCAGCCGGGGACCCGGGCCCATCGTGAGGGGTGGCAGCGGGGGCAGCGCCTCGGGCGCAACCGCAGGCTCCGGTACCGCTGGTGGAACTCTCGGCCGGCTGCGCCTGCGCGCTCCCGGTTCGGGGCGGGGGGGGGGGGCGGGGGGGATGGGGATGGGGCAGTCTGGGCAGGCCCGGAACCGAGGGCGCCTCCTCCCAAGTTCAGCCCAGCGACCCGAGCTAAGGACTCGGGAGTGGCGCGCCACGGAGGGCGCAGCCGAATCCAGCCACCCAGAGGCTGCTCTGGGCTCCGGGATCCGGAGCGAGCCAGCGCTGCTCGGGTGCTGCGGGCTCGGCCCGGACCCGGGAGCTGAGGGGTGTGCGCTGGGGTATCGCCAGGAACTTACAGCGTAGACGCGTATTAAACCTGATGGAAAGTCGAGGACTCTCCGGGCTCCGGGTCCTCCTGGCAACTTACGCGCCTTAGGGCTGGGGACTCTGCGGACGGGTCCCGGTCTGTGACCGCAGCTGCCCTTGGAGCAGCCTCCGCCGCGCCTGCCAGGTTCCAATGTTCCATCAGAGGCTTTAGCTAAGTTTTGGACGCCTCTCAGAACTCTGGGACCCCGGATGTTTCGACTCGATTACACATGATGAATGACCTCTCATTGAGATGTTTCAAGTTGGGGATATAATTTTTACAAACTTAAGAATTATGTTTAGGAAAGTTATTTAATGACATGGGGAAATGCTCATATTTTTAAATGGAAAGCTCAGTTTGCAAAATCACGTAGAAATTCGGATGTCAACTGTGAAAATAAATGTATAAAGGCATTTTAAAAATGGAAAGAAATGTACCAAAACATTTACAGTAGCTATGGTGATAGAAAAATGGATTTTTGTTTTCTTTGTAATTTTCTGATATCCCAGATGTTCTACATTGAGCATGTATTTTATAATCAGGACAATGTTGTTTTAAAACTCAATGCTTTTTGCATTAGAACTTCAAAGAACTTTTTTTATTTTAGTGTAATAGTGCCAAAATTAACTGCAAATTAATAATAGTATTCTCTTGGTTTTCTTAGGGGCTAGTGCCATGACTTTCGAGGCAAGATTTTACTTAGGTAAGCAGATAGGATTCCTATATATAACTAAGTGTAGATCTCAAATTACCCTGGAACCTTCCAGTGTATACAAAGAGTAACCACCACTTTTGAGGGCTGGACAGAACACTTCTGAACTATTTTGATGTTTCAGCCCAGTGAAGGATCTAATGCCTTTCCTTATCACCTTCACCCCACATAAAGAGGGAGTCCCCCTTTCGTAGCAAGCTAAGGGTATCACAGGGCTTATGCCTATATTTATTCCTTTTGATTCAGATCTAGTACAATGTCTGGTGTATAGTGATTTCTCAATAAATATTTGTTCAGTGAGTGAATGTGTCTACTTTTTAAAAATTTTATTGGGAAGATTAATACAAATAAAGAAAAGTGCACAAAATGTAAATGTACAAATCAATGAATTATCACAAAGCAAATGCAGCTAGAACCCCACCCATCTAAAGAAATGAAATATTCACCAGCTCTCTAGAAACTCCTCTTGTACCCACTCGCAACTACTAACACTTTTTTCTCCCTAAATTAACCACAATCCTGACTTCTTCCAATATGATTTAGTTTTGTTTTAACTTTGTGTGAATGGAATCTTATGTATTCTTTTGCTCAAATTTGTTTGTGAAATTCATCCACGTTTTTGGGTGTAGCTATTTTGGTTCACAGCACAAGCTAGGGGTCGAATTTTTTTTTCCATATGAATTCCACTTGTCTCAGCATAATTTATTGAAAAGTGTTTTCTTTACTTACTGCTCTGTAATGCTACTTCTGTCATGGAACAAGTGTCCCTACATGCATGGGTCTGTTTGTGGGCCCTCTTTTCTGTCCCATTGGCATGTTTGTCTATCTTTGTGCCAATACCACATTGTCTTAATGAAAATAGCCTTATTGTAAGTCTTCAATTTTACTAGTACAAGTCTCAGCACTTTGTACAACAGATTTTTGGCTATTCTTGATGCTTTCTGTGTTCATATAAACTTGAGTTCATATCAGCTTGTCAGTTTCCAAATCCCACTGGGATTTTGATTGGAATTGCATTGCATGTATACATCATTTTGGAAAGACTTGGCATATTTGTAACATTGAGTCTTCCAGTTCATGAATGTGTCATATTCCTGTATTTATTTAGATCTTCTTTAATTTCTCTCAGTAAGATTTCATAATGTCTTACACATGTTAGATTGATTTCAAGGTGTTTGGTTTTTGGTTTTGTTTTGTTTTTTTGCTATTATAAATTATATCTTTTTAAACATTTATTTTTGTTTTTTGGTATTACATCATAGTAAAATAAATTTTGTTTATTAATCTTGAATAGACCAGTTTGTTAAACTTATTAATTCTAATATTTTATCTGTGAATTATTTAGGATTTTCTACAGAGACAACTATATTATTCATGAATAATGACAGTTTTACTTCTTCCTTTCTAATCTTTATACCTTTTATTTCTTTTTCTTGCCTTATTGCACGGCCAGGACCTTCAGTACAAAAAGAAGTGACAATAGGGTGAGTCCTTGTTTTTTGGATTAAATTTTGCCCCCAAAAGTGTACGTTGAAGTCCTAAACCCCAGTATATGTGAATGTGATCCTATTTCCAAATAGGGTTTTTTGCAGATGTAATCAAGTTAAGATGAGATCGTACTGGAGTAGGTTGGCCCTACTGCAATACGACTGGTGTCCTTGTAAAAAGAGGAGTGACAAAGACACACACAGAGGAAGACACCATGTGAAGACCCTAGGAAACTAATAATAAACTTGTCCGTCCTAATGCCAGAAGGAAAGCTTTCAATATTTTATCATTAAGTCTGATATTTGCTGAATGTTCTTTTGGGTGGGGATACTCTTTTTTGACTTAAGAAAATTCCTTTCTTAGTCCTAGTTTGTTAAGAGGTTTTATCATGAATTAAATCAACATCATGTATTGAAATCAACCAAAATAATCAGGTGATATTTCCTTAATCTGTAAATGTGGTGAATTGCATTGATTTTTAAATCTTAACCTATCCTTGCTTTCTGGAATACGCCCAACATGTATTGACCTTTTTTTCTATTGCTATATATATATATATATATATATATATATATATATATATATAAAACAAACTTAACAAGAACTGAAAAAAGGCATTACTTCTGAAATGAAGTTCAGGAAAACAAAAACAGTAAATAAATTGATTCTGGCTTTCCAGTTCAGACCAAGCAAATCACCAACATTCCAATTTTATGTTAATGGGTAAGTTTGTTATTCTTAAGTTCAGGATATTTGCATCTATATTCACAAATCAGACCAACTTTAAAATTTCTTTTTTGGAATTTCCTGTCAGTACTTTTTTTTTTTAATCAGGGTTATTCTAGCACCTTAACATGAATCGGCAAATGGTAGGTATTTTTCCTGTTCTCTGAAAAGACTTGTGAAAGATTGCCCTTATTTCTTCCTTGAATGTTTCTTACAAGCCATCTGTGCCCAGAGTTTTCTTTATTGTAAAGTTTTAAATTATAGGTTTAATTTTTTTAATGGTTGAAGGATTATTTAAATTTTCTATTCGTCTGTCAGTTTTTACATTTATATTTTGAGGAATTTGCTTCATTTATATTTTAAAATTTACTTACATAAAGTTATTTAATGTATCTTTTTATAATTTTGTAGGTCTGCAGAACTTATAGTCAGGTCTTCTTTTTTCATTCCTGACATTGGCTATTTATTTTTCTTTTTTCTTCAACAGCTCCATCAATGGAGCTGATGATTATGTTTGGTTTGATTTTATTTCATTAGTTTATGTTCTTAACTTTATTTCCTTCCTTCTCTTTCTTTGAGTTTAATTTCCTATTATTTTCTATGTCCTTGAAGTAGACTCTTTTTTTTGCAGTTAGCAGTATGCATTTATATTTCCTCCATGTCATTTAATGGCTTAATAACTCATTTGTTTTTATTGCTGAATAACACTCCATGGTATGGTGTACCACTGTTTATGCATTCACCTACTGCTTCCAAGTTATGGAATTATGAATAAAGATGCTATTAACTCTGTGCACAGGTTTTTGTGTAGGTATAAGTTTTCAACTCCTTTGGGTAAATACCTCTTAGAGTGATACCTGGATCATACGGTAAGAGTATGTTTCATTTTGTAAGAAACTGCCAAACTGTCTTCCATAGTGGCTGTACCATTATGCATTTCCACCAGCAATAAGTGAGTGTTCCTGTTCTTCCACATCCTTGTCAGCATTTGGTGTTGTCAGTGTTTTGGATTTTAGCCATTCTAATAGGTGTGTGTGTCAGGGGCAAGTATTTTAGCTCTCACTGTTGTGTAAGCCAAATTCTTCTTTTTATTAATCCATGAATAACAACATTCCTGAGAAGAAAGAATCCTGAAAACTAAGACACAAAGAACTTAGGTTATTTTTTTCAATTTATTTAAACTAAAAATAAAACCAAAAAAATAGATACCCATTTCTCCCATCCCTAACTGCCACCTCTGACAGTCACCATCTCTTCTCTGTATGAGCTTAGTTGTTTTTGTTTGTTTGTTTGCTTGCTTTTTTTTTTTAAGATACCACCTGTAAGAGATCATATAGTACTTGTCTTTGTCTGACTTACTTTCCTCAATTCATCAATTTTTTTAGCCTTTCTTCTTTTATTGCTCTATGTGCAATTAAAATGATAAAGTTCCCCATAAGAAGCACAACTTTAGATGCTTTCCACATCTAAAGTTTTGATATGTAGTATTTTCATTATCATTCAGTTAAAAGTATTTTCTAATTTACACTTTAGAAAAAAGCCATGTTACTTAGAAGTATAGTACTTTATTTCTACAACATAACATTTTAAAAATCTTTTTGTTAGTGATTTCTAGCTTAGTTGTATTGTGGTGAGAAAATATACTTTTTATTATCTCATTCTTTTAAAACATATGGAGAGTTGGTTTATGACATTGGATCTAGTCGATTTTGTGGGGGAAACTGTTTCCCATATATTAAGTGCATTCTGTCCTTGCTGGACTCAATATTCTATGTATTAGATCAAGTTTGTCAATCCTGCATTTCACCTCTATCCTTACTGACTTTTTATCTGCGTGTTATAAGGGTTATAAAAGTTACCATAGGAGTACATTAAAATCTCTCATTATGACTGCAGATAGTCTATTTCTCCTCATAGATCTGTAAATTTTTCTTTATGTGTTTTAGGCAACTTTATTGAGTGCAAAAAAATCCAATATTATTTTTCAATAAATTGAATTTTTTTTGTAATTATGAAGTGTTGCTCTTTCTAGTAATGTTTTTTGCCTTAAAGTCTGATAGTGCTATAACTCACCATCTTTCTTTTGGCTACAGAATGCCTGCTTTATCTTTTCCTATGATTCTACTTTCAATCTATCTGTCCTTATAGCTTAATATATTTCTTGTAAATAGCATAAATTGTTTTTCTAATGAAGTTTGGTCATCTTTATCTTACGTAGAATACGTAGCCTGTTTACACTTAATGTATTTACTTAACATGTTTGTATTTAAATCTAATGTCTTCATATTTTATTTCTGTTGGTACCCTATTTTATGTTCCTCTTTCTCTCTCTTCTTGGCTTACTCTGAGCTGATGGAACAGATGTTAGTATTCTCTATTCCTCCTCTACTAGTCTGACATTTACTCATCCTTTTAATACTGTTTCGGTAGTTTTACTAGAGATTACAACATGCAGTCTTGATTTTTCAAAGCCTAGTGTTACCTGTTAGTCTTACTCTCTTTCTGGATAATGTAAACCCTCAGGACACTTTACTTCCATTTGCCTTCTCTGCAATTGTATGCAGGTCTTGTCATGTATTGTATTTTTACCCCCACAACACATAAAAATCAGTATTGCCTAATAAAATCTTACACATTTAGATTTATCCGCACATTTATATTATCTTTGCTCTTCATTACTTCCTGTATATCTAACTTTATACACTGACCATTTTTCTCCTGCTTGAACAACTCCATTTGGTATTTCCTGAAGTGCTAGTCTGCTGATGAGAAGTTATTTTATTTTTATCTGGAAATGTCATTCCTGAAGGATATTTTTGTTCGGTATAAAATTATTTCCTTTCAGCAGTTTGCATATGCCATTTCTTTTGACTTCTAGTTTCCATTATCTCTACTGAGAAATCTGCTATTACTCCTTTGGAAGTAATCTATCTTTTCAAAATCTGGATGATTTTAATATTTTTCTCTCTATATTCGATTTTTAAAGCAGTTATACTAGAATTTGCTTAAGCGTAGATTTCTTTTTACTTATCCTGCTTGGCATGCATAAGCCTTCTTAATTCTGTGACTTGATGTCTCTTACCAGCTTTAGAAAACTCTCAGTCATTAACTATGCAAAAGTCACTTACAATCAGTGTTACTACAAAATACAGTTACTTTCATTTGTGTGCATTCTTTATGGTCTCTTTCACATGTTTCAAGAGCACTTGTGTGATATAATCATAGTGTAAATTGTATAATTAAAATTACTGATAAAATGTAAGATTAATATAAAATGTATACATTATGTATTGCATGTATGGATTATAAAAGGGATTAGCCAGTCTGTTGGCAGTTATCTTTTGTAGTGGCAAAATAAACAGTGGAGGTATATATTTATAGCTTGCCACTTTTGTTGTAGTTTTGATTCATCACAAAGAAAGAGTGCTTTCGAGTGTGAAATTTCACAATCATCTAACTTAAAGAGTGCTTACTAATGATTTATGAGTACTAGAGACTACAGTTTTATCATATTTAGGTTTTTTTCTAGTATATCATAAGGAAGTTTTACATTTCTGCTGCTTTTAACATAAATGTGGCTCTCAAAGCTACCTTTCAGTGTCATTCAACCCTTTATGTTTTGTCCACTGTGTTAACTTTTTTCCTCATTTGTAAATAATGCCTTAGTTGAGTCAAATATTACCTTCCCTCAAACTACAATGAAACTTTGCTAAATTAAATTCATGTTTAGCAAATAAATGCCTAAGGCTTTTGTTGACTATAGCATTTGAATGGTGAGTTTTTGCCTGGAAAACTTCTTTCAAGTGTTAAGATGAGGGTGCAGTCACCTTAGATCACAGAGAGGCACTGGGGTCTGGCTAGGACTCAGTATTGGAATGAAATTACGGGGGCTCTCTCCATCTTTAATGTGCATAGCACGTTTTTTTCTAGAGCTACATATTTACTCAAAGGTTCTCCCTTAGTGGACTGCCCATGCCAAACTTCAGTGAAAAAGTCTTAAAGGAGTAAAAAAGTAATCTTGCCTTTATTTGCTAACCAGGATGCCCCATTCGCACCCTCCCAGACCTCCTTCGCCAACCAGAAGAGAAGCAGTAGCACTGACTTTTGTTGACACTTACACATGCTAGGAACTGGGGTACAAAAATGAAGATTCGAAGATGCATGTTTCCTGCTCTCAAGGATCTTCAAAGGTAGGATGAGTATATGAAATGGGTTTAAACTATGTAAAGTGACTTTTCTTTCATGCCAATCAATGTCCCTGAGAGTATGAGGTGGAGATTCAACCCACTGAGCAAGACTGCAGAAGGGAAATCTCACCTTCATTGAGTTCCTGCTATGTGCAAGACACTTGCTTACAATATCCCCTTTAACCGTGTGAGCTAAGGTTGTTAGGAACAGATAAGACTGAGGAATTGAAGTTCATCTGAAACTCTAATATGCCTGTTTCTATGAATTTCGAGTGTGAAATTTCACAATTATCTAACTTAAAGTCAGTGGTCAAAAATGGTTACTTTAGGGAACATAGAAGCATAGTTGGGTTTGAGTATGATGACTGGGAAGGGAGGAGAAGTGGAGAGCCAGTGAATATGATTCTTGCAACTTAAAGTGAAATAGATTGATTAAACACTGATTATATTCCAAAAATTAGGGAAAATCTATTTACTTGAGAGAACTAAAGTTGAATGCTAGAAACCCTAATGATTCCTACTTCATCCTGCATTGACCTGAGTGCTGGATGTGTCTACCTCGACAGGCAACGTTTTAAAAAATTCTTTGGAGGCAATCTGTTATTTAATTGATCTGCATATTTATGTTCGCTCTTATTCACTGTTATTTACTATTCACCAAGGCTGCCAACTTTTACAGTCTTGGTATAAATGTTTGTTCCTAAACCTTTGCAGATAGATGTGTCTTATGTAACAGTTATGGAGTCCATTAACATGAAGCACTAAAGCACAAAAAAGAAATGAAAGAGATTTATAAGCATATGAAATGCCCTCACCAGAGACAGTTGAAATAATAAATCCAAAGTCAAAGGAAAATTTGTGAAGTTACTACAAGCAGATTTATCTACTTCAAAACATGTTTTGTGGGACTGAATCATACCATCTATTATGCTTAATTTAAAAGGTAAAATATACAAATTGACTCTCATTTATTGGTTTAACGATACCTCACTGTATTAAAGGAAACCTTACTATTGTAGAAGAGAGAAATCTCACTTTAAATACTTCTCTGTCATTTGCATTCTTGGGGATAGAAATTGCCTTAATGATTTTTCTTTAAAAATTGGAAATTTGGGAAAGCTTAAAATATTTGTATTTTTAAGTGACGTTAAAAGACTTCCAGCACTACTGTTTCACAAAAATACCCAGTTATGAGCCCAAGCGCTGGTAGCAACTGTAGTCTAGAGGGCAACTTTTCCTTGGCTGCAACTTGAGATATAATTAGTATCTTCAGAAACAACATCATCCCCCCCACCAAAAAAGAAAGTTGACAAAGTAAAATGGTGGCATCTATTTCCTCGTTAAAACATCAGATTGACAAAGTCCATGTACTACTCTGTTTCAAAAAGTTCCAGCTCTTTTAAACACTGGCATTCTTATCATTTTGTGCGTTCAGTGCTGGTCACTGGCTAACAGTGTCTGCATGGATTTCTCCTTGAATATCTTTCTTCCATCAACTGATAAGCCAGTCTCTCCTAGGATTTCTGGTCAAGAGCACTGCTCAAAAAAGAAAGCTGGTAGTACATATTTGAAATTGTTGCAGACAACATTCCTTCTCTTCTTGTTCAGTTTGTTTGTTTCTATTTGAAGGTAAGTCTAAAGGCTACTTACTGAGCTTTCAGGTTGAGATGGCCCCGGCACCAGAGTGGGAGTTTAATATGCTTTCCTTGGAGAAGAAAGACACTGACATTGTAAATCTAGCCTGTATTTGCTGTCGTGGGGCTAATCCCTGGCCATAAAATTAGAGTCAAATATAAAATAAACGGCAAGCCACTGTTTTCACATCAATCTATACAAACAAGCTAATGTATTATTTTGGGAGTGAAAACAAAATTCTTAATTGCTCCCTAAACATGTGGTAAAATTCCTGTATGTACAAATTTATTTTTACAATAAAAATGTTAAAATTCAAGAAAAGAGAAGGAAAAAATCATCAAAGTCCTAATCTCCCCAAATAAATACCTTTAATGCTTTGTTGTTTTTCCTTTCAGCCTTTTGGTTATTCTGCTCATCCAACTTTGCATTTTATTTTTTCATTGAGTTCAATTAATAGAATGGTCTCTGGGATGTCTTTTATGATGATCTGTAAGTTATAAGTTTAAAACACGTTTTTGGAAGACATGAGATGGTTTACAGAAATGAAAAACTGTTAAATATTGTCTCTCCTGCCACAACAAAAACATTGTTCAAAAGAAAAGATTTTTGAATCTTGTAACCACGGCACAGTCATTTTCAAAATACCAACTGAAAATCGAATTTGAAAAGAAAGTGGGAAGAAGGAAAAAGAATCCCCAGCCCAGGCAGGCACAGGTGTGGAGAGTCATGCATTTCTCAGGTAAGCCCTGTGCGCTCACCTGCTCTCGGGATGATACCAGCTCCTTGCAAACCTCAGCACTCCCTCTGTGCTGCTGCCCCCGACCAGGCCCAGCTTTAATCCAGCGCCTCTCAACTGGACAGATAAGAATGGTGATGGCTGGGGAAGGGAAACAACTCTGTGCAGGGCTGGCTCTGTCACCAGTAGCCTGAAGGGGAGCGGCCCCTCAGGGCTGCCAGGAGGGCACTTCCCATCAGGGGTGGCCACACTCAGTCTGTTCGCAAGCATAAGCCAGGTGAAAGTTTTGAAATAAGGGAGAAGGGAGGATTTTTACCTCTCTTTCTACGAGGGGCCCATCATAAGCTCATTTGAATGATCTGAAAAGCCCCTAAGATTTCATTCAATGAGGGAGCATGCCAGAGACACTTGAAAACTATGACATTTTCAGTAACAGGAGCCAATAGAGTCCTTTGAGGCTTAATGTAGGTCCTGGAATTCTAGACTCTTGGGGCTTGGAGGGGCTTTTTTTTTTTTTTTTTTTGCGGTACGCGGGCCTCTCACTGTTGCGGCCTCTCCCATTGCGGAGCACAGGCTCCGGACGTGCAGGCTCAGCGGCCATGGCTTATGGGCCCAGCCACTCCGCGGCATGTGGGATCTTCCCGGACCGGGGCACGAACCCGTGTCCCCTGCACCGGCAGGCAGACTCTCAACCACTGTGCCACCAGGGAAGCCCTGGAGGGGCCTTTTGAAGGTAATATTTCTGTTATGAGTGGATTACTTTTAAGCTACAATTTAAAAAACCTAAGGAGCTTATTCATTTCATCATGAAGTGGTTACTGAAAAGTTCTGCCTTCAACTACAGTAGTGCAAAAATCGTTTTTCAATTTTTCTGAATTTCAAGAAAAACAGCGGGAAATTATTAATCACAATGATGGTTGTGTTTGCCTTGTTAAGAAGATTGGTATTGAACTTGGAATTTCTGTATCATCACTGAATCCTTAATTATTGTGTCAGTTCTGAATTTACCTCCTGTGTGTGATGGATTGTTTAGTGACAACAGATCCTGTCCCCCTGCCCCTCCCCCACGCCCACATCCCAGGAGGCACTCCGTTTTTTAGTGTGACTTTGGGGCTCATCTCATCCAGAGGTAGTGTCCATTTCTCCACTCTCTTGAATTTGGACTGGCCTTGTTTGCTTTGACCAATAGAACGTGGTGAAAGTGAGGTGGCTTGAGTTCCTACATGGCCTTGCAGTGCTGCCCGCACTTTCCGGAGCACTGGGAGAGATGGGTCTCTGTCAACCTGAGGCAGTGAACCTAGCCTACAGGAGACTGAGAGACCGATGGAGCAGAATCAGGCAACCACAGCCAGTACCAGTGACCAGACACATGAGGGAGGCCAACTTAGACTGCCCGCCCAGCCAACCAGCCAGTTGCATGCAGCTGTGTGGGTGAACAAAAACAAGACCAGCAGAGGAATTGCCCAGCCAACTCACAGAAGAATGAGAGATAATAAATTGTTGTTTGAAGGCACTAAGTTTTGGGGGTGATTTGTTACACAGTACTAGATAACTGATACAACCCATCAAACCTTTTAATCTGTAATTATGATATAGGAGCTCATTTGCTTAAGGGAATCCTTTGTAATTCCTCTGCAATTTTCTGTTGTTCCTCAGGTAGAGAGACAGGCTCCCTGTGTAAGGAAAACTATTCACTTTCTTCCTCTTCTTTTTTTTTTACTATTTTAAAAATTGAAGTATAGTTCATTTACAATGTTGTTTTAGTTTCAGGTGTACAGCAAAGTGATTCAGATATATGTATATATATTATTTTTCAGATTCTTTTCCATTATAGGTTATTATAAGATATTGAATATAGTTCCCTGTACTATACAGTAGGTCCTTGTTGTTTATCATTTTATATATGTAGTGTGTAAGTCCAAACTCTTAATTTGTCTTTCTTAATAAAAGAATACTCCGATCTTCCAAGGTTAGTAATAGAGAATGTCAGGTAGGAAGGGCTACTCCTCCCCTTCTCTCTCATCACTGTCACCACCTTAGCATGGATACAGACCCATTACCAGGGAAAGCTGGACCTAGACACACACAAACACACACATGTGCACACACATACACATGCACGACACACATATATACGTATATAAAACCGAAGGTCACACAGCTAATAAGGGTGGATCTTGCATTCAAGCCCAGCAGACTGGCTCCGGAGTCTGTACTGTTAACGACTGTACTCCACTGTCACAGAGAGTCATGTATGGTGTCTCCTAGATGTGGCTATCTTAGGAGCCCCTCAGGTACCAAGCCATTCTAGCAGATTCCCTGCTGCATTAACTCCTTATCTATCTCCCAGCCTGCCTCCCTGGCCAGACACTGTTTTCCCTCCACCATCCAGGAACATCCTCCTGTCTAGACTCCCAGAACCCAGGCCCAAAGATGGGAACTCCTTCATCCCAGATAAGTAATGTGGGGAGTTCCCATTCCCTTTAGGGTGGGGTGGATATTGCAGATGCCTCACTCAACACCCTTTCTAACTTCCCTCTAGTGTTCTTTCTTGTTCTGGGAGGCTGGAATGCTAAAACTACATTCCCCAAGACTCCCTTGTAGGTAGTCTCAGCATGTGACCTGTCTTTCACCAAGAAGACACACTGCTTAGGATTAGGAGACAGAGATGACCAGTGTGAGTACTGGCTCTGCAAAGAGAGATCAAATCTGACAAGTGTCATGAGTGAGGCACCTGGACTTCCTGGTTCAGCTTCACTGGAGGTTTTGGAGTCCATCCCTGGTGTCCAGGGTGTGGCAAATGGCAGTGGCAGGGAAGTTTCACGAACAGTCCAGTGCAGTGGTTGGCCATTTCTCGCGGCTGCTTTGAAACTCACTAACAACCAAGCCCAGTTCTCTAGCCTCTCCAGAAATTCTATAAAATACCTAATACCTGGTTCAAATAGCAACTGTTGGGTCAGGGATAGGCTGAGCCAGCAACAAAAAGTCGACCCACAGAGACCTCAGGTCCTACCAAAAATGAAGGAAAGAATCCACATCTGGAGAGCAAGGTCAAGTTGGTTGAAGAAGGAAAGAAGCCAGGATACCAGGTCCAAATCGAGCTATCTAGACAGCATTTAACTGAGTCAGGAACCCTGGCCTCCTACCACAGGCTTGCCATATACTCATTTTAGTGGCACAATATATAGGACATGTCTTAAATATAATCGGTGACCTTTTCCTCCTGTGGCATGAGGAAATGAGGAATGATATCTCCTACCCAGATATCAGAGAGGTTTTTAGAGATTATTCTTTGGATCTCTCACCTTTAGAATGAAATAACTTTCACTCTGAATAAGCTAATGTCAGATCAAGAATTTGTTTTGGTTTAAGATATAAAATAAATCAAAGGTAATTTGTTTCAGTCAGCCAGTATATCATTAAAAAATGTTTCCATTCCAAGTGTTACTTTATAAGTAAGATAAAGTAGAGCCAATGGGAAGAAACAAAAGCAAACCAAAGTCAAGTTATTGCTTCTGATGAGGTAAACCCTGTTGGGAGGAATTGTCAAGGACCAGCTTTTCTCTGATTGACAGGTGGGGGTGGGATTTGGGGAGGGGAGGAAACCTTATGGGGTGAAGGAGTGTACTGCTGCAAAACACAGCTTGTTTGTCTAGGTGTAGCACTGAACCACAACTCAATCCCCATGGCATCCACCTTGGGAGAAGCCCAGGCACTTGACCAGCAGTGAGGGACCTTTTTACATCATGCCTGGCATTGGCTGCATCTCCCTGAAGGAAGAATGCCCAGACTTTGAGAATGTCATTCCTTAGGGCTTCCCCTTTATCCTCTTTGCCCATAACAGTGCAACAAATATGCTTTAAAAAAAATAATATATTTGACTGAAGATTTTTCATAAACTCTTTCCTCTTGCCCACATTCTTCTAGCTAATTCTGAGATGCCATTTGCAATGCCCAGTGGCCCAGGTATCTGACACTGACTCTTTTAACAGGTCTCTTTGTGAAACTTAGAGGAGGGAGGCCTAAGAGGAAGTGCAGGGTGTTACAGATGACAGTCGTTTGGCACTTTCCACATTTTAATTCCTGCTTCTTTAGTGAAAAAGTCCTTGCTTTGAGGGACCATCTCCTTTCAGTTGTTCACACGATGAGCCATACATGTTAACTGCATGGCTGTAGATTGCAGTAGATTTCAGCTGTCCTACAGGAATCTATAGATTAATGTGCATCTAAAATATAATATAGACTTTGGTTGTTTATGTAAAATATAAAAGGGGGACTGATCAGGGTTTGTTTATATCAAACACTCAATAAAATGTCATTGATTATTTTCAACTTTTATTACTGCATATATCAATGTCAGGGTTTTTTCCTGGAACCGTCTCTCCCATTATTTGTTTGATTGCCCTTTAAGGGGGATTTAGTCTACATTTATCCTTTTCCACCTAGTCGTTTCTGTTTTCTGTGTTGGAAGTTGAAACGTATAATATCACGTACCGTAAATTAAAGTTTTTCTGTTCTCACCTCCTTTTTTAAACATTCCTTTCCTTTAAAATTCGGTGCCTCTGGTTATTACCTCATGGTTTCATCTGATATGGCTACTTCAGCTGATTAGAGTGGTTATTTATATTAAAAGTATCATAGTTATCTTTATCATATAATCTTGAATTATATACTTTACAAAATTTGTACAATGTTTTTAATGGAGTAGAAAAAATCACAATAGAGCTTCCTAGATGATATAACAGATTGAACACATTTGCTTAATTTTGCTGAAACCCTATGAAAACTACAGTAAAGTGATTTAAAATAAAAGACAAACTCATCAGGGCCAGGTGGATGCAACAGGAGATAACAACAACAATTTTGCAAATTGGAAAGCAGATGTACAGCAGGCATCTTTAAAAATGCAGGAAACTAAATTCTAAACCTGGACTGGAGAAAGCGGAGAACAACCTGATTTCTATGCACAGTCGGTCCCCAGAAGGCAGTGCAAGGACTTCTGGAAGAGCCGGCTCCCTCCCAGCCCCACAATGCACTGGAGGTTTCTTCCCTGCAGAGGGGAAACTGAGGCTATCTGGACTGGCGGGTGCCAGGCAGTGCTAAGGGCAGGGCTACCATATCAAAACAGGGAAATGAAGCAAGTGTTTGCGCTCTGAATGATGATTCCTTTCAGCTTTTTTTCATATTTAACTCTCAGAATACAGGAAGCCAGATGTTGACCTTCTAGACAGGAGAAAGAGAAAAGTATTCCAGCTGGAAACTGCCCAGCCCTAAGGGAAAGACCTAAACCTACCGACATCCAAAGTTCCCCAACAAATGACCTCAGCCAGATCATTTTACAGTGAAGTGCAATATGGATAAGCCCAAACCAAACATCTCAAAACTTCCAATCAGCTTTCTGGTTCCCCATATTAAACGTAAGTATACAGTCAAGGATTGCCACATATCTGCGGGATGTCATGAACCTTGAAGGTAGAAGCTAAAATGAACCAACAGGGAAGAAGGCAATTTGGAGAAATTGGAAGCAATGCAGAGAAAAGGA